AATGAAGGTTTTTAGCCTAAAGAGCCAAGATGTAAAGATTGGGTCGGTCTTGATCACAATGAAGACCGACTCAACGACACTAAGACTAAGGTCTTCGTTCTTGGTCTTCTTTTAGCTCTTGTTCTTGTCTTCCTTCTTCGCCTTGTATATTCAAAGTTTGACTTGATCACGGCGGTTTGGCATTATCAAAACCTGTCATGAAAACAAACACGGCTTTAGTACGAAAACGTGACATGCCCGTGTTTCAACAATTTCCCCCTTTTTGATAATGGCAAACGAGATGAGGTTATGCATATGAGGAAGTCTTTGAGACTTTAAAAAGTTTTCCCCCTTAATAGATGCCATTTTATTTGAAAAAATAATTCCCCCTCAATTTATGCATAACCTTGATATCTTCCTCCTTTTGACATTAACAAAAAGAATTAAAAGTGAACTTTGGAGTATAAAAGTAAACTTTTATTCATGAAAAAGGAAAAAATGCGGAATACAATGGAATGGAAATAATAATAAAAAACAATCATAGGAAGGAAGGAAAAGAAAGAAGAGTTTAGGCAGCGGCATCCTCGTCCTCGGCGTCATCGTCTTCTTCGTCGTCCTCAACGTCCATGGGATCCCCGTCGACCGCATCCTCAAAATCGGCCTCGTCGGGGGAGGAGGATGGAGCATAGGAGTTATCCTCCTCGTCCTCGCCTTCATAGTTTTGGCCGAGGAAGGTGCTGTCAAAGGGCGGCAGGACGTAGTTGATGTCGCGGAAGAACGCCGTCATGTCGTGGTGTTGGCGTTGCAGCGTCCAGTCCATTGCTCGATTGACTGCCCCATGCCATCCACTGTGAGGGTTAGCCGATTCAGAGTATCGGCTATGGACTGTAAGGACGCCTTGGCGGGAGTGGAGGCAGGGGCAGGGGCACGGGCACGACTCGGTCCAGCGCCGGTTCCGTCACCGGACTTCTTCCGGAAGGTGCTGTCTTGGATGATCCAAATCTTTGTCATCTTCGTATCCGGGCCGGCGATGGAGATGTCGGCGGAGATGATGAGGTCCATGACGAGGAAGGCGTATGGCAAGCTCCGCTCAGTGGCGATGGAGGCG